CAATTTCTTGTTTGCTTAGAGTTATGGGCTCTGGGGCTCTGAGTTCTTCTTGAGCCATGTTTTGATCTGTTCACTCCTGTTACGTGTGAGGAGCGGAGCCTTAGGTGTTCACAAAGGTGGGGCCACCCAGGTCGCTGGTTTGTGACGCTGTATGTGGGGGTGGGGTCAGAGAGGGTGCAATATCCATCCCCTCTGTTCCTTCCCACTGCTGGGGCCTGAGCGGTCTGTCTCACTGCTCCCTCCTATGAAGGTTTATCTGCGTGCAAATGTGTGACTGGGGTCAGCCTGCCGCCTTGCACCCTCACTGGGTCTGCCCGTTGCTACCCCATACCTGGGATCTGTCCACGGTTGCCTGTGTGCCTGAGTCACGGTATCTTTCCTGCCTGGCCTTGCTCTGCTGCTGGCTCCGCCCCTCTTACTGGTCTGGCTGAGTGGTTCATTGTTGTCGGACTCCTTATTAAATTTTCTGTGGTTTGGCTGCGTTTTTTGTTGCTAAAGCTTTGTTGTTTTTAAACTTGGTTGTGCGAGAAGGCATAATGTTTCCACCTACGCCTCCACTTTGGTGGAAGTTCCTAAATTTTAAGCATTTTAAAAGTTGAAACTACAGAATCAGCTGGTGTGGCTCAGTGAATTAAGCGCTGGCCTACAAACTGAAAGGTTGCCAGTTGGATTTCCAGTCAGGGCACATGCCTGGGTTGCTGGCCAGGTCCACAGCAGGGAGGGAGTTCATGAGAGGCAACCACACATTGATGTTTCTCTCCCTCTCTTTTTCCTCCCTTCTTCTCTCTTTAAAAATAAATAAATAAAATCTAAAAAAATGAATAAATGATGTTTGGAGTTTCCTACACGTAAAGATTTAGGGTTGTATACATAAACCCAGTTAATCAATTCATTACTGAAACTTTTACCTTTTGTTAAGTATTCTATTTGATGGAGAGGGAAAACATAGAGAATAGTCTCTGGAATCAATCTGTGCAGATTTGATACCTAGTCCCCTCTTACTACCTCCAAACCTCAGTTTCTTCATCTGTCAAATGGGTATAATATTAAACTGTCTTATAAGGCTGCTGTGAAGATTAAGTGAGGGACTGAAAATTGAGTTAATAAATCGGTTCATACCTACATGATGGAGTCTCCTTAAAGAGCCCTAAAGTACAGAGTTTAGAAAGCTTCCAGGTCATTGAACACATGAGGTGCTAGGAAGATGACATGCCCAGAGAGGGAATGGGGTCAGTGATTGGGAAGAGAAGACAGCAGAAAACAACTGATCAGGACAGCAAAAAGAAAATAATTTTTTTTAAATGAAGATAGTTTAGGGATCTCTGGGACAATTTCAAGCATAACAACATCTGTATCATAGGGTATCAGAAGAAGAAGAGAGAGATTAAGGGATTGAAAGTATATTTCAAGAAATGATGATTGAAAACTTCCCTAACCTGTTGAAGAAAAAAAGATACTCAAGTCCAAGAAGTGTGAAAAGTCCCAAACAAGATGAACCCAAAGCAGCCCACACCACAACACATCATAATTTAAATGATAAAGGTTAAAGACAAAAAGAATCATAAAAGCAGCAAGACAAAGACAGTTACCTACAAGAGAGCTCCCATAAAACTCTCAGCTGATTTCTCAATAGAAACATTTCAGCCAGAAGGGATTGGCATGAAATATTCAAAGAGATAAAAAAGTGAAAACCTACAACCAAGACTACTCTACCTAGCAAGGCTATCAATTAAAATTGAAAGAGAAATAAAGAAATTCCTAGACCAGAAAAAGCTAAAGGAGTTCATTGCCACCAAACAAGTATTACAAGAAATGTTAAAGAAAATTCTTGAGAAGGAAGGAAAAAAAAGGGAATGTAAGTATAAAGAATAAAATGATAATAAATATAAACCTATCAATAATCACTTTAAATGTAACTAGATTTAAATATGCTAATTAAAAGACGTAGTGTAGCTGAATGGATAAGAAAACAAGACCCACATATAGACTGTCTACTAAAGACCCTCCTCAGAATGAAAGACACATACAGACTGAAAGTGAAGGTTTAGAAAAAGATATTTCATGCAATGAAAACAAAAAAAGCTGGGGTACCAAAACCTTTATTAGACAAAATACACTTTAAAACAAAGGCTATGATAACAAAGAAAACATTACATAATGATAAAAAGAATCAATCCACTAAGAGGAAATAACCCTTATAAACATTTATGCACCCAACATAGGAACACCCAAACATATAAAGTTAATCTTGATGGACATAAAGGGAGAGATTGACAGCAATCAGTCATATTAGAAGATTTTAACACCCCATTGACATCAGTGGATAGATCTTCCAGACAAAAAATCAACAAGAAAACAGCAGCCTGAAATGACACATTAGACCAGATCGGTTTAATTGATATTTTCAGAGCATTTCACTCCAAAGCAACAGAATATACATTCTTTAAAAGTGCACATGGAATATTTTCCAAGATAGAACACCTATTAAGACACAGAACAGGTCTCAATAAATTTTAAAAGATTGAAATTACATCAAGCATCTTCTCTGACCACAATGTTATGAAACTAGAAAACAGTTATGAGAAAAGAAACTGAAAAACATACAAACATATGGAGGCTGCATAACATGTTGCTAAATAATGAATGGATTAACAGTGAAATCAAGGAAGAAATGAAAGGATACCTTGAGACAAATGAAAATAAGAAAACAACAACCCAGAATCTATAGGACACAGTGAAAGCAGTCCTACCTCAAGAAACAAGAAAAATCTCAAATACATAACCTAACCTTACATGTATAAAAACTAGAAAAAGAACAACAAACAAAGCCCAAAGAGAAGAGAAGAAAGGAGATCAGAATAGGGGAAAAAAACAAAATCCAGTATAAAAACAAATAATGCAAGAGATGGATGAAACCAGGAGCTGGTTCTTTGAAAAGATAAACAAGTGTTTAAAACTTTAACCAGACTTATCAAGAAAAAGAAGAGGACCCAAATAAATAAAATCAAATAAAAGAGAAGTAACAACTGACCACATAAATAGAAGGGATTATTAAAAAATATTATGAACAACTATATGCCACCAAACTTGGCAATCTGGAGGAAATAAATTCCTAGAGACATATAATCTTTCAAAATTGAATCAACAAACAAAAAATGTGAACAGATTGATTGCAACCAACAAAATTGAAGCAATGATCAAAAAACTCCAAACAAACAGAAGTCCTGGACAGGATGGCTTCATGGGCAAGTTTTACTAAACATTGAAAGAAGAAATAATACCTACCCGTCTCAAACTATTCCAACAAATTCAAGAAGAGGAAAGACTCCCAAGCTTATTTTAAAAGGCCAGCATTATCTTAATTTCAAAACCAGATAAAGACACTATGAAGAAAGAAAATTATAGACTGATATCCCTAATGAACATTGATATAAAAATCCTCAACAAAATATTAACAAACTAAATTCAGCAATACATTTAAAAAAATCATGCACCATGGTCAAGTGGGATTTATTATTGGGATGCAAGTTTGGTACAATATCCACAAATCAATTAACATGATACACCACATAAACAAAGTGAAGGATAAAAATCATACAATCATATCAATACATGCAAAAAAAAGTGACAAAATCCAGCATCCATTTATCACAAAAACTCTCAGCAAAGTGAGAATAGAGAGAACATACATCAACATACTAAAAGCCATGTATTACGAATGCACAGCCAACATTGTACTCAATGGGGAAACACAAAAGGCATTTTCCTCAAGATTGGGAACAAGACAGGGATGCCTACTTTCACCACTTCTATTCATCATAGTACTGGAAGTTGTGACCACAGCAATCAAACAAACAAACAAACAAAAAGAAATAAAAGGCATCCAAATTGGAATAAAACTCATCATTTGAGATGACATGATGTTGTATATAGAGAACCCTAAAGATTACACCCCAAAACTACTAGAACTGGTTAAAGAATTCGGGGAAGTAGCAGGATACAAGATAAATATTCAGAAATCAGTTGCATTTTTTTACATCTATAATGCAACTGATTTTTTTACAGCATTAATGCAAACTATCAGAAATAGAAACTAAGAAAACAATCCTATTTATAGTTGCCTCAAAAAAAAAAAACCAACACCCACCTAGGAATAAATTTAACCAAGGAGATAAAAGACTTGTACTCTAAAATTATAAGACACTGAAGAAAGAAATTAAAGAAGATACAGTTCTTGGGCTGTACGTGGGGAATAGTGAGGATAATCCAAGGTGCTGAACACATGCTCTTGGAGCATCATAGTGAAACAGTATGAATAACCACAGCAATCTTGAAAAAGATGAACAGTACTGGCTGGTGTGGCTCAATGGGTTAAGCACTCTCCCATGAACCAAAGAGCTGCAGGTTTGATTCCCAGTCAGGGCTCATGACTGGGTTGCAGGCCAGGTCCCTGGTTGGGATTGATGTATCTCTCACACATTGATATTTTTTGTCTCTTTTTCTCCCTCTAAAAAAATAAAATAAAATCTTTAAAAAAGAGAGAGAGAGAAAGGACAAAGTGGAGGTATTATGCTGCCTAATATCAAACTATATTACAAAGCTCTAATGATCAAAACAGCATGGTACTGGCATAAAAACAGACACATAGATCAATGGAACAGAATAGAGAGCCCAGAAATGAACCCACACCTATATGGGCAATTAATATTTGACAAGGGTAATATTTGACAGTTTACCTTATACATACAATGAGGTAAAACAGTCTATTAAAAATGGAGTTTGGAAAATTGGACAGATACATACAAAAAAATGAAACTAGGTCACGTTCTTACTCCATGTATAAGAATAAACTCAAAATGGATTAAAGACTTAAATGTAAGACTTGAAACCATAAAACTCCTAGAAAAAAAACACGGGTAGTAAAAACTCTGACATTTCTCTTGGCATTATTTTTCCTGATAACAACAAAAATAAATAAATAAATAGGATTACATCAAACTAAAGAGTTTTTGCTCACTGAAGTAAGAAATCAACAAAACCAAAAGACAAGCTACTGAATGGGAGAACATATTCACCAATGATACATCTGATAAGGGGTTAATATCCAAAATTTATAAAGAACTCATACAACTCAACACGAAAAAACAAACAATCCAATCAAAAATGAGTCAAGGACCTGAATAGACGTTTCTTAAAGAGGACAAACAGATGACTAATAGACATATCCAAAGATGCTCACATCACCAATCATTAGAGAAATACAAATTAAAACCACAATGAGATAGCACCTCAACCCTGTCAGAATGGCTATCACCAATAAATCAACAAACAACAAGTGCTGGTGAGGATGTGGAGACAAGGGAACCCACATGCACTTTTGGTAGAATGCAGACTGACTGGTGCAGCCACTATGGAAAACAGTATGGAGGTTCTTCAGAAAATTAAGAGTGGAATTATCTTATGACCCAGAAATTCTTCTTTGGGTAAATATTTGAAGAAACCTAAAATACTAATTTGAAAGAATACATGTACTCCTATGTTTATTGCAGTCTTATTTACAATAGCCAAGATACAGAAGCAACCCAAGTTCCCATCAATAAACGAGTTGATAAAGAAGTGGTGGTACATATGAGGACTGTCTGGAAAAAGTCCCACATTGTTAATATAATGAGAAAGGTTTGTGCAACATGGATGTAACCTGGCAGTCAAGGAGAGAGGACTGGAATACTCATGCAAGAACAATGACGACTTCACTGTACTAGTCAGTGGGAGCAGTAGACGCCGTTGAATGAACATATGTACTGTGTAGCTGTTGCATTCAAAATGACTGAGTAGAGCAATGAATCTGCATCAGATTTTTCATTAAGCTTGAACATTCCTCCACAGAAACTATTTGGATGATTCAGAAGGCCACAGCCATGGGCAACTGGTGATTGGCAGCTTCATCACAACAACGTGCCTGCTCATACATTATGTCTAGTGCAGACTTTTTTTTGCAAAACATTGAATCACCTTTGAAAAGGAAGAGATTTCATACCATTGATGAGATTCAAGAAAATAAAACAAAGCAGCTGATGGTGACTGGGGGAACTGTGTGTGTTCCCACAGTGCCTACTTTGAAGGAGACCGAGGCATCATTGTCCTAAGTACAATGTTTTCTGTTTCCTGTATCTTCTTCCATAAGTGTCCCCATTTTTCCTATTACATGGCTGTATACTTTCTGGACAGATCTCGTATATACAATGGAATATTACTTAATGGAATATTTAAAAGGAATGAAATTTTACCACTTGTGACAGTATGGATGGATTTAGAGGATATTAATCTAAGAGAAATAACTCAGCCAGAAAAAGGTAAAGTGCCATATGATTTCACTTACATGTGGAATTGAAAGAACAATTTAAATGAACAAATAAAACAGAAGCAGGCTCATAGGTACAGAAAACAGATTGGTGGTTGCCAGAGGAGAGGGGATTGCGGTGTTACCGGGCAGTGACTGACCGGTCAGTGACTGACCGGGCCTGGATCAGGTCTGCCTCAGGCCTCCCCGTAGTGTGTGGGTTCTTGACTTCGTGCGGGAAAGGTTTCACAATGGGAGTCCAGGTGATTTGGAGAGTATGTTTATGAAAGTTGGGGACAGTGAAATAAAGAAGAGCTTAGGATAAAAGAAACAACAGGAGAGAGCCTGGCAAGGCTGCTGTGACCCTCTAAAAGTCAAAGAAAAGGGGCCTTGGAGACAGATTCAGAGGGTTAGCCTGGAACAAGCTGCTGCCACCCACTGCAAGTCTCATGGGGTCCCTTAGAGTTTAGGAAATGCTTGACTTTAGAGGAGAAAGATGGGGGAGGGAAAGGCACAGGCATGCTCTTGGGAGAGGGAGTGCTCCCTGGGACCTTTAAGTTGTTTTTTTTTGTTTGTTTTTTTGAAAGGCTGGAAGTCTAGAGGAGGGTATCATACAATACTCATCAACTTTTCCAGGTGTGCCCTTTCAGGGTCATGGTCTTCACTGATTGGTTAGTGGTGGCAGACTGTCATTAGTCATTGCAGCTGGTCCTGGTGGCCCATCTGGTTTTGCTGCTTTTCTTGGCCTGGAGCTGAAATATAATAACTGAATCCTAGATGTTATCTCTAGGGAGGAAAGGTCTGGGGCAGGGGGGATAAGGGGAGTGGGTTCTGAACTGCATGACCAGCAATATGCCAGGGAAGGAAACGCCGCCCTGGAGCTGAGGTCTGGTGCCAGTTTTGCCCATTGCTAGGTACCCAGGGCTTTCCACCCTGGTGACCTTCTGTATTTGGCTATACATTTCTTGGCCAGTTTACTGAGCTATCTGTCTCAATTTCCCCATTCCACTTGCCACGAAGTTTTCCTAGCTTCTTACTATCCTGCCTCATGGGACTGGGTGAATAAGTACAAATTGGCCATGGCTAGTGTGGTTCAGTGGACAGAATGCTGACCTGAAAACTAAGTTTGCTGGTTCAGTTCCCAGCTGGAGTACATCAATGTTTCTCTTCCTCTTTCCCTTCCCTTCTCTCTGAAAATAAATAAATAAAATATTTTAAAAAACCAAACAAACAAACAAACAAACAAACAAAACAGAGCCCTGGCTGGTGTGGCTCAGTTGGTTGAGCGCTGGCCTGCCAACTGTCAGGGCACATGCCTGGGTTGTGGGCCAGGTCCCCGGATGGGGTTCCTCTCATTCTCCCTCCCTTTCCCTCTCTCTAAAAGTGCATGAATAAAATCTTTTTAAAAAATTTAAACGGAGTACAAATTGGTAGTTACAAAATAGTCATGGGGTATAAAGTACAGCATAGGGAATATAATAGGGAATATTATAATAACTATGTCTGGTGCCAGGTGGGTACTAGAAATATCAATAGGAACATTTTGTAAAGTATATGATTATCTAACCAGTATGCTATATATCTAAAATTAACACAAAATAATATTGAATGTAAACCATAATTAAAAAATAAAATAATATAATAAGATAAAAAAATAAAATTGTGACCATAAAACATTAGAGGCTGATAGAAGCAATAATCATAATGATGATGACTCCAGTAACAACGAAGATGAGCAAAAACTGGATTTGGCAGGGAGTAGAATGCATACTACCTTGGGTTTCAGTGTGCTGCTGAGTACTATGATCCAGTTTTCAAAGTGCTGTTTTTTGTTTTTTTTTAACCAAAATAGGGTGGAGACAAATGTCCTGGATGAGTCTGTGGGGGAGATACAAGCCTTCCTCTACCTCCAAGGTTCTTCTGGCTGGTCTAAGATTAAATAGACATGAGACAGATTAGCAAGAGACAATAACCAAATTTAATAAGTCCGTATATATGGGACCCCCTCATACATGAGCTAGGAAGGAGGTAATACACCTTGGGGGCCTCAAAGGGTCATTGCAGGATGATAAGAACAACGGAAAAACTTCTAGTAAGTAGAATTTGTCCTGCCCTAGGAGGTTATCTCTGATAATCTCTTATTATGGGCAAGGCCCCTAATTCAAGTTCTAGTAGGTAGTTAAGGGAAAAGCAGAAGTTTCTCTTCAGCCTGTGGCTAAACTTGCTCTCAGCTCAAAGTAATCTGCATACTGTAGAGAAACATTTAGGGGTGGCTGGTTCTGAACAACCACAGGACCGTGGAACCTAGATTATGGTCCTCATGATGGAGATTCTTCCGCTACGGAGCCTGTTTGAAGATTACCTCTCTGGTTTTAGTTCCTTCTTTAATACACCCAAGGGATAAAACCAGATGACCTCTAAGGAACTCTTCTATGGATCTATCATTTTTTCTGAAATACCCTGATGTTTTTTGTTGCCTGCAAATGCGTCCCTGAGCTGTTATTCATGGGTTAACCCTCTACGGGAAACTGAGTGCCTCACACTGCTAGTATGCAACCCTTCTCTTCTTTAGGGGATGGGTTATTCAAGTTTACCAGTATATTAGGCCCAATCTAAACGCAGATACAGCAATTACATAACTGAGATTGGTAAACAAAACTTCCTGCAGAGGAAACACATTTTCGCTTCTATTTCTCTCCTTCCATGACTTTATTTCATCACTTACTTCCTCTATTAGCATCTTCAAATTCTCCCTCGGACAGGATTCTGTCCTAGCTCACAATGACGAGCATTTTGTATTCATGTAATACACTCTATCTACCTATACATCTTGGAATCAAACTCTGAACCTACTGATTTCACTCCTCAGTCCAGTGCAAACTCTACTGAAGTGGTTTTGATAAAGATTGTCAATGGCTGTTTATCTGTCTAAACTAGTGTTTTCTTGTTCTTGATTTCACTGTAGCATTTACACGCTTAGTGATCTCACGTGTTTTAATGTGTCCATTAAATCGATAGGGGAACTCCAGAGTTAAAGGTTTTAGCCTTAGTTGATAGGCTTAAGCATCTACTGCGTCTGAAAAAGGGTAATTCCTGGAACTGGAATGCTTGACCCATGACTCAAGGAGGTCAACAAGTATTCAACCTCTGTGCCCCAGGCAGTCTGCAAGCCACAGAGATGATACCTGAGCCCTTGTGTTCCAGAGGAGGAATGCCCCAGATGCAGATAAAGAATTGCTGATCAACAAACAGGTAAAGAAGTACTCAGAAAATCTCTGCTAGACTGCAACTCTTACTCGGTTAACCATTTTTCCAAACTCCTTACCCACCCTTTTATCCAATTAAACTTTTTCCAACCCTCTTACCCAGCCTTTCTTCTCCTCTTAAAAATGTTGGCCTGAAGTGAGTTAAGACAGTTTTTTTAAACATATTTTATTTATTTTTAGAGAGGGGGAAGGGAAGGAGAAAGGGAGAGAAATGTGTGAGAGAAACATTGATCGTATTTTAATGAGTTTATTTGAGCCCAACTGACGTGTGCCTAGAAGCAAGATCTCAAATGCTCCTCGTTAGCATTTTGAAAAGGACACACCCATCATTAATCCCCACTGTTATCTCTAGTCCATCCCCCTGTCCCCAGGGCCTGCTGGAGTTTTCACCACTTGGAGGATGAATCCGATAATGATATCACCTTACATCACCTTACTCACACCTTTAACCTCCAGGAAGCTGGCTTCCCAGTTACATCCAATCTGTTCAGTGCTGTTAGCAGTATCCTCCCCATGATCTCCAGCCTTATCTCCAAGTGTTCCAGTCACACTGGGCCACTTTTTGTCTTCTAAGCAAACTAAGCTCATTTGAACCCCAAGACCTTAATGAAATTAAGGCACTGGGTGCCCCCTTTATTTATGCTTAATCACAAAGCAGAACATCTGACAAATGTACATTCTCAGTCAATTCTTATTGAATGAATTAACTGTGAATCCTAGATGGCTGGCTCTTCAATAAGATACTTATCACTTAAATAAAAGAATTATGAAAAATGCTTCCTTAAAAAAAAATCCCTTTTTTTGCCCTGGCCAGTGTGGCTCATTTGGGAAGAGTGTCATTCCATAACCAAAAGGTTTCCGGTCAGGGAACATACCTAAGTTGCAGCTTTTGATCCCAGTTGGGGAGCATGGGAGGAGGCAGCCAACTGATGTTTCTCTCTCACATCAGTGTTTCTCTCTCTCTCTCCCTTCCTCTCTATAAGCAATGAAAAAAAAGTCCTCGAGTGAGGATTTAAAAAATTACTTTTTTTTGGAACGGGGAGGCAAATAATTGCGTGCTGACCTGCAGTTTCCGTCACTATCCTAGCCATTTTCAAATCTCACCAATTCATGCCAGAAGAACGTCTGACAAAACCTTTCCCCCCTTTCTGTAGTATCTTTACTATGTAGAGAAGTAAACTCATGAGATTACTGTAAACCTAAGCATCACACTTTAGTTTTTCCATAGATAATGGCCACTATGGCATGAGCTGTACCCCATAAGGGAACCCTCTGTAAGATGATTCTAATATACAGAGACTTAAGGATAGCTAAACTGAAAAAGTCAGATCACATGAGTTCCTATTTTTGCAAGTTAATTTAGAAACTATTCATAAGGGGAAGGGAGGAAAAAAAAACCTGACCACTTAAAATTTACAAGAAATTCTCACTCTCACTGTCACCATGGAAATTCCCAAACTTCTCACATGTCTTCTCTACTTCATCTCTGGTAGCATAAAAACATCTGCTAAATAATACTATGGAGAAGAAATAGTTGGTGTCATTGCCCAAACCTATAATAACTTGTAACAGTTGGGTCAGCCTCACAAACAGGTATCACTCCCGTGAAGGGCTCTGGTTTCTTTCCCTATGAGTAATGGAAATTTCTAAATCTTGGCTGTGTCTTTCTGATGGCTGTACTCAGTAATAGGAGGTTAATAGTGCCTCTTATGAGATGCTAATATGTTTGTGGTATGTACAATTGTATAAAGACCAGATTCTCTAGGTAGTAGTATTATACCAATATTACATTAGTAATACTAACAAGCATTCATTCATCTGTGCATATTTTCTCAATAAATATTGGTTAACCATTTATTTTGTGCTAGTGGTTGGCACCAGAGATACAAATATAGGAGATGCATTTCCTGCTCCCAAAGAGTCTAGTAGATAGGCTGATGAGTTAATACTGTGACTAATATAACAGAAATAGCCCAGAATGCTTTGGGCTGGAGAGGAGTGAAACAGATGTCAGATTTTGGGAGTGTTGGGCTTCAGGAAAAAAGTTACTGTTGAGGTGAATACATTCAGCACACAGTTATTAAGCAGCTGTGTCAAGCCTGGGAATATAGCAAAACCAGTGAATAAAGCAAAGCCCTGTCCTTGTGGAGCTTACATTCTAGAACACCCTGAAAAAAAGTCTGACAGATGAACAATCTGAAAAGAAAATGTACAATTTATTTCTAAAGGTTAAATTATGTACCAGTGAGTGTAGCTCGGGCATCATAAAAATCTGGCTCACTGTGCAATCTCTGTCCTGTTCAAAACATGTTGAGAGTATGTTGAAATTTCCTGCCTTTGTGAACAGAAGGGACTTTTCTCCGCATCTGGGAACAGGGCCCAGACTACGTTCACAGCTCAGGGGTTCCTGTTCACAGCTCAGGGGTCCCTGCCATAATAAAGAGACACACCTGGGGTGGATCATTCACATCGTGACAGATACCCCAAAGTCTGACATCCATATTGTGAGAAAGTCCTTTTGCCAGAAGCAGGAATATTCAGAGAAGAGATTCTACCTAATACTTATCCCCAAGAACATATCTTAAGTTTATTCCTGACCATAAAGGGAGAGTATAACTTATGCACATTACTTTTTTAAAGAGATGGTGTACATTAGTATGTGTGTTGTTTTTTTCAGAGCGATGGTTACATACATTCACTCAGATACATTCACTTGCCTGTTTCAAAGGCCTCTTAGAAGGATGATGCCGTGCCACTCAGGTGATATGATCCCCATGACCCCACCATGCATTGGAAAATATATTACTTTTGTATAATTCTAACTGCATTGAATTGCAATAATCTTTCATCCACTTTAGTTCTCCTGTGTTTGTCTGTTGTTCATGGTAGTGTTTTTAAGATCTGCCTGACCCTCTCTGTGAATCTAGAAACACCACACTTTAGATGGGTTAGATAAGGGGGGAGAGTCAAGTTAAGTAGACTTAGGCTGACAGTCTCTATCCCTAACATGTGGCTCCAAGGTCATCCTGGGCTTTGGCATCCAGCCAGCTGAAGCAGAGAGAGAGAAAGTGGAGAAGGGATACCTGCTTTTCCACCACCGGTATTGGGGAGTGACTCACATCTCCCATTGGTTAAGAACGAATCCAGTGAACCCACTAGGAGGAAATGAAGTCTGTATGAGAAATCCCTCCCAGCACTACCTTAGCTTTCAGAAGTCACTAAGTTCAGTCCCATTACAGGAGACGGTGACTGCAACTTTGAGAACAGAGAAATAACTGAGGTGTTTACTGCCTGTGAATAAAAAATAGAGAGAATAAATAAAAATAAGTGAGAGAATGGAATTACCCATGCTAATTCTGATACTCTTGCCTGGTATTAAAAAGCTGAGTAATGACAACTGACTGAGCGGTGGGACTTTAAAGAGTTGTTTTACAAAAAGCATGACAATTTAAATAATAAAGAAGTGGAACTAATGCAGTGCCCCAGGATCTTCTTCTAATTATGTTCACCTAGGAAATTTATCAACCTATTCTAGATCACCACAGTAAAGTATTGTGATGAAGGGAATCACACAAACGTTTTCACTTCCCAGTTCATATAAAAGCTGTGTAGACTGTAGTCTGTTAAGGGTGCAACAGCATTATGTCCAAAAAACAATG